GGAACACAACCCTACCCACTAGAAGAGAGGTTGCCTAAATCATGATAAATTCACAGACACCCAAAAACACACCACTGGACATGGTCCTGCCCAACAGAAAGGAAAGATCCAGCCTCATTCACCAGAACACAGGCACCAGTCCCCTCCACCAGGAAGCCTACACAACCCACGGAACAAACCTTATCCACTAGGGTCAGACACCAAAAACAACGGGAACTACAAACATGCAGCTTGTTAAAAGGAGACCCCAGGGCTTCTCTGGTGGTGCAGTGGTTGACAGTCTGCCTGCCGACATGGGGGACACGGGTTCGTGCCCTGGTCTGGGAGGATCCCACAAGTCACGGAGCAGCTGGGCCCGTGAGCCGTGGCTGCTGGGCCTGTGTGTCCAGAGCCTGTGCTCTGCAACTGGAGAGGCCACAACGTTGAGAGGCCCGCTTACCACAAAAAAAAAAAAAAAAAGAACACAAAATGATACTAAAACTAATTGGTTTTCAAAGAACTGTAAATTAAAATCACAACAATACACCGCCATACACCCACTACAACAGCTAAAATGAAAAAGATTGATAATATTCAGTCTGGGAAAGCCCAAGACAGTGAAAATATAAACTCAATCCCAGCTGATTCAATGCAATCCTAATCAAAAATCGAATACAGGTGGGTATATATGTGCACGTGTGCAATGACGTTAAAAAGATAATTTCAAATTTATGTGAAAATGCAAAGGACCAAAATTAGCTAAAACAACCTTAAAAAACAGAAGGTAGGAGAAACAGTTCTACCAGATATCAAGATTTATATAGCTAAGAAAAAAGCCACAGGTATCATGCTCCCTGCCTTCAGACTATAATATAAAGCTACAATAATCAAAATAGTATGGTACTGGCACAAAAATAAGACACCTACATCAATGGAACAGAATAGAGAGCCCAGAAATAAACCCATGCACCTATGGTCAATTAATCTACAACAGGGAAGCAAGAATATACAACGGAGGGCTTCGCTGGTGGCGCACTGGTTGAGAGTCCACCTGACGATGCAGGGGACGCAGGTTCGTGCCCCGGTCCGGGAAGATCCCACATGCCGCGGAGCGGCTAGGCCCGTGAGCCATGGCCACTGAGCCTGCGCATCTGGAGCCTGTGCTCTGCAACGGGAGAGGCCACAACAGTGAGAGGCCTGCGTACCACAAAAAAAAAAAAAAAAAAAAAAAAAAAAAAGAATATACAAGGGAGAAAAGACAGTCTGTTTAATTAAGTGGTGCTGAGAAAACTGGATGGCTACATATAAAAGAATGATTATAACATTTCCTCAAACCATATACAAAGATAAACTCAGAATGGATTAAGGACCTAAATGTAAGACCAGAAACCATAAAATTCCTAGAAGAGAAAACAGGCAGAACACTCTGACATAAGGCATAGCAATATTTTTTTTAGATATGCCTACTAAGGCAAAGGAAATAAATGAAAAAATAAGTGAATGGGACCTAATTAAACCTAAGAGCTTTTGCACAGCCAAGGGAAACCACTGACAAAACAAAAAGACTACTGACTGAGTGGGAGAAAATCATTTGCAAATGATGTGACTGATAAGGGATTAATATCCAAAATTTATAAACAGCTCATACAACTCAACATGAAGAAAACAAACAACCCAACTAAAAAATGGGCAGAAGAGGGCTTCCCTGGTGGCGCAGTGGTTGAGAGTCCACCTGCCGATGCAGGGGACATGGGTTCGTGCCCTGGTCTGGGAAGATCCCACATGCCGTGGAGCAGCTAGGCTCGTGAGCCATGGCCACTGAGCCTGCACGTCCAGAGCCTGTGCTCTGCAACGGGAGAGCCCTCAACAGTGAGCGGCCCACGTACAGCAAAAAAAAAAAAAAAATAAGCAGAAGACCGAAATAGACATTTTTCCAAAGAAGACAGACATGGCCAACAGACACATGAAAAAATGCTCAACACCGCTAATTATCAGAGAAATGCAAATCAAAACTACAGTGAGGTTATCACCTCACTCCAGTCAGAATGGCCATCATCAAAAAGTCTACAAATAATAAATGCTGGAGAGAGTGGAGAAAAAGGAAACCTCCTACACTGTTGGTGGGAATGTAAATTGGTAGAGCCACTATGGAGAACAGTATGGAGGTTCCTTAAAAAACTAAGAATAGAGTTACCATGTGATCCTGCAATCCCACTCCTGGGCATATGTCTGGAAAAGACGAAAACTAATTTGGAAAGATACATGCACCCCAATGTTCACTGAAGCACTATTTACAATAGCCAAGACATGGAAGCAACCTAAATGTCCACTGACAGATGAATGGATAAAGAAGATGTGGTACATATATACATACACAATGAAATATTACTCATCCATTAAAAGGAATTAAATATTGCCACTTGCAGCAACATAAATGGACCTAGAGAATATCATAGTAAGTGAAGTCAGAGAAAGATAAATACTGTATGATATCACTTATATGTGGAATCTAAAAAAAACTAGTGAGTATAACAAAAAAGCAGACTCACACATACAGAGAACAAACTAGTGGTTACCAGTGGAGTGAGAGAAGGCGGGAGGGGCAAAATAGGCTTAAGGGATTAAGAGATACAAACTACTATGTATAAAACAAATAAGCAACAAGGATATATTGTACAGCACAGGGAAATATAGCCATTATTATATAATAAATTTAAATGAAATATAATCTGTAAAAATACTGAATCACTATGCTGTATACCTGAAACTAATGTAATATTGTAAACTCACTATACTTCTATTAAAAAAATTTTCATAAAGCTATAGTAAATAAAAATATTAATGTGGTCTGGGGACTATATAAAAAGGCAAAAATTGATTATATGTAAAGTCAAAATAGTGACTACTTCATGGGCGTTGGGGGCTAGGAGTGAGAGAACATTACATTCTGGGAGTGAAACACTAGTGGAGGCTTTTGTAAGACTAACAATATTGTATTTCTCAACTTTCTTGTGGTTATGCATGTATTTATGTTTTATGCTTTGTTTTCTATGTGTATAATTTACAAAAAAAATAACGGGAAGATTGTAAGAAAAAATCAGAATAAAAGTGTTGTAAAAAAATAAGAGCTTAGAGATATTTAAAATGTTAACTATGTTGATAACTTTTAAAATATATATATTTCTCAAATTTTCCATAAAGAATAGGAATCCCTTTAATAATCAGAAAAAAAATTATTAAAAGTTGCACGTCATCTTTCCAGACTTAAAGCTTCATTATTTTAGAATAAGTAGGGTAAGAATCAATCAGAATACTGATTTGGAAATCAGAATATTATTTCCTATCAGAATATGATTAGGAAAATTCCTAAATCATAAAATACTTATTGTATTGCTTTAAACTCGTAAGGTAACTCAGCCTAGCCTAATCTGATGAAAGACTACTGCAGGACCTAAATTATGCATGAGTTATTTCAAAATAATTTGTTCTTTTAAAATAACAAGACATGTAATTTAGCATACATTAGATGATATTTTTGGTTTGCTATGTCTTCATGGGTCTACTTTAATACAACCATGCCTGAATTTGATAAAATTCCTAGTGAAGAAGAATTATGACAGCTTAACTGAACGGTAGAACTTCTTGTTTTTACCTATAAAACCTGATCTTCACTGTGTTCGTATCATTATTTTGATTAGAGCAGGGTCAAAAAGTGGGCTGTAATCAGGCCAGATTACAGTTGCTAAATATGACAAGGAAGCATTTAAGCATGTTTAGGAAAAGTACTCTACTTAGTTTACTAATGTAGATCCAGTACCAGGTACAATGTCTGGTTCAAAGAGAGTACTCAAAAACTTCTTGAATGAATTTAGATGAGAAAATATGGGGTCAGACTGAAATAAATATATATGACCAGGCATGGTATCAGAACTGATAAAATTTAAGGTGGGAACTTAAAAACTACTTGGATTTTACATTTACAAATCATTTGGCACCAAGCTGCTGGAATACACACATTCTACTGTATTTCCTTTGCTCTACTATTTTATTCTTAAAATCCTATTGATGTTCTTAACTGTTCAAAAGATATACATTGTTTGCCATCTGTTCTGGAAATTCTTCTAAATGAGTTTTCTTCGCTATTCTTTCCCCACAATGATGATGGTAATAATGATATGCTCCATTTTCAATAATATTAACAAAAATTCAGTAGGAGGATTCTCTCAAGGAGGTCTCAATTGCAATGTGGTCTTTTTATCCAATATTTTATTCATAAGTAACAAAAAAAATAGATTTGATTATTTACTGTTTGCTAAGTTTACAGTACTAAAAAACAAAAGTGTACAAATGAAAGCTTTGTGAAAAATAAAATTTGCTTAAAAGTATGATATTGTCAAAGTTTTTATGTAACAAATGCTTAAAGAAAAACAACAGTAGTGTATAAGTAAATTTAATATAACAAAATCCTTATATGGTTTATGGTTCTCTAAGTGCTTTCACATACATCATTTCATTTGCTTCTCACTATAGTTATGTAGATTACCACTTCACAGATGAAGAAATGAAGGCTTACATACATTAATGTCATTTGCCTAAAAGTTCAAAAGTAGCAGTCTGGATGTGACCCCATGTTTTCATTTCCTCAAATGTGTTACTCATATATAACATGGAAACATTCACAACTTACACGATTTTCAAATGTGGATTTTTATTGCCATTTTCTCATTCATCTAACCCCTCTAGTTTCCTCTGAATCTGCTGTATCTATTTTAAACTAATTTTCTCCCTTTTTCCCTAATAACTCTTTAAATCTATATATTTTTAAGTCTTTACTAACTCAAGTCCACTTCAAATTTTGTTCTCAACTAGCCATTCAAATTTCTTACTAAATCCCTGAACAGTAATATATAAATTTTAGCAGGTGAGAAAACTGTAGTTAAATGTGCTATAAAGAATAAACATAAAACTGTGAACTTAAAGTCATTTTCTCATTTATTTGTAGAAATGACCACAATGATTACCTGTGTCCGAGAAGTCGATTTTCCTTTGGTATCAGTAGAAAATTTGCCTTTATTACTAATACGTGCTGCCTGCTCTTTACAGAAATTTATATGTCTATCGGCTGCATTTTCATTAAATCTCCTCTGGCAATATGGACACTGAATATAATCTAAAACAGAAAAAAGAAACAGATTAGTAACATAATACCTGAAATGGGACATAAAGAGTTGTAAGTTTTATGAACAGTAATTCAAGACATATAACATAAATAACACCTGCTAAGCAAAAACTCTCATTTTCTTATAACCACCCAACCTGATTTATCTAAAATTAGTAAAGATATTTAAGAAAAAAAGTATGCTAGTATATGATAAACTACAATTTTCTCCCAGCTTAGAATCAAATTTGAGGGGAAAAAAAAGATAAATCGTCCCTCCATAAAAATGAATAAGTAAAGGAAAAATGTTAATTATTTTTTGCTTCTATATTACCATATGTTTTCATCACAAATATATATTTTCATAAGGTAGACTAGGTTAAGTAGTTAATAACACATTACATTAAATAAAAATTTACATAAAATAAAAATTTGGGCTCATCTGTTAAAATCTTTAATTTCAATTAGAGGAAAGCTGTCAAGAAATAATTTAACAGACCTTATACAGTTTTATTTTCTCTTACAGATCCCAACAGATGGAATAATAAAAATATATCTCCTAAGTAATTCAAATTTAAGAAACAGCAAATGTTGCAGCTTATATATTCTCCCCAAATGCAATATATAGTACAAACAAAACTTCTCACAAAATAAATCTTAAAGTTATCCCAGAAAGAACCAAATTTTATAGCACTGTGAAAGATTTCAACTCTATGAGATACAGAGAAGAAATAAATATAACAACTTAGCAGTGTCAAAAAAAATCTTCAACTTATTTCAACAGGTTTACTTTTTGAGATGGAGTTTTTTGCCCTTTAGAATTTACACTCATCTGAATCTCAGAAGTTTGTCCTGCTAACTAGTGTAACAGGTCTAAAATCTCTAATAACGAAGAAGTTGTTCTGTCAGGACTAAGAGATCAAAAACATTCTGAAGTCGAAATTATCCTGAAGAACTGCCCCCGAGCCCCCGCTCTGACTTAACGTAAACATGAGAAATATAGCTGTGTTGAATAAGATGCAATATACAAATACCTCTAAAACAAAGAGAGAACTCAACTTCATGGGGAAAATTAAGGTAGAAATAGAAGAGACGCAAACCCAAATGGAACATTCCAGAAATACTCATAGCATTAAAGTTAATTACTAAGACTCAAATAGGAGTTGGCAAACAAGGGCCCATGGGCCAAATCCAGCCTGCCTGCTGCATGTTTCTGGAACACAGCCACAATCATTCATTTACATATTTTCTGTGGCTGATTTCTTGCAACAGTGGCAGAGTTGAGGAGTTGAAACAGAGACCTTATGGACTGCAAAACCTAAGATATTAACTATTGGTCCTTTATAGAAATTGTTTATCAATCTCTCTTCTACAATAAAATGTTATAAAGGATATCTAACTTTCTCTTTACTAAGAAATTAATCCCAACTTAGAATACTAACACAATTTTAATGCAGCTAACTTGTTATATTAAAATAACTACCTCTTGAGGCTATTCCATTAACCACTGTCAAAATGTCAACGGTACTATTTTAAATCTTTCATCATCTCAATTATCTCATATGTGGTTGCCAGCATCTTGCCTTGCTTTGGGGAACAATAAACAAGAAACTTTTACCCACCCAATGAAGAAAATATAAAAATACATGAATTTAGGGCATAATCTAGGTATATCCATCTATATGGTGGTTACCCCACTAGAATAATACATTTTTAGAAGCAAAATTATGATTTTTTTTTCCCTTCCCAGATTAGAAGATACCAAAGAACCAGGCAACATAATTATCTGAATCTTACTGAATGACTACATTTCAATCGACATTATGCATGATTAAAATATTTCCTGGAGGGGCTCCCCTGGTGGCGCAGTGGTTGAGAGTCCGCCTGCCGATGCAGGGGACATGGGATCGTGTCCCAGTTCGGGAAGATCCCACATGCCACGGAGCGGCTGGGCCCGTGAGCCATGGCCGCTGAGCCTGTGCGTCCGGAGCCTGTGCTCCGCAACGGGAGAGCCGCATCGAAAAAAAAAAAAAAAAAAAAATTTCCTGGAATATTAACATTTAATAGTTACTACAATAATTTTTAAATGATATTAAATGCTTTATAAAGTATTGAGATAAAAAGATAATGCATTTCTATGTTCAACACTGATGTGTCTTTATAAGCCTAAATGCCTGGATTGTCACCATTATTTTGTAGGAAAACTTTTAGAGATCATGCTTTACTAGGTTAAATTATTATAAGTTAAGCTTAATATCTTAAAATTTATAAGAAATCTATCAATACTATCGATATTTCTTTCCCACATGAACAATTTCTGTCAACAATATGACATATACCAGGATCATAAGAAGGTGGAGGAGGGGGAGGAAGTTTGCCACCCTCTTTAAGGGCCTGACCAAGGCCTTTAGCTGCTCTTATGGTGGCTATGAACTCTTCATGCTTCCTCCTCCAATTAGATGGCTTCTTTGGTGGTTCAGGCTGCAATCAAATTAAAAAAACAAACAAACAGAAAACAGTTTCAAAACAATTTTTAATAAATTAAAATAAAACTCAAGAAAATGCCATATTATTTTAAATGTTCCCTCATCAGGAGTCCTTAAATGATCTCCCTCCCAAATTTATAATTTTAAAAAGAAACTTTAGGCAACTAAATTATATGCAATTTTTAAAATACAATTGTAATTGTGACAGACACTGCTAAATTGCCTCCTGTAGGTGTTACAAACACTTAAGCCACCACTAAGAGTGTACTTCCTTATTTTCCCATAGTTTCTCCAACATAGTATGATACTAAACTTCTGGTTTTTTAACTGATTAGAGAGGTGAAAAATAGTTCTCTCTGTGGTTTTAACTGCCTTTTTTCCTATAATGAGTGAGAGCGAACATCTTTTCATATCATAAAGAATCATTTGTATTGTCTTTTCTGTGAACTGTTTATAAGCCTGGTCAATGTATGTATTGGGTTATTGGCCTTTTTTAAACAATTTCTAGTAACTCTTTATAGGAGACTAGCCCCACCCCTCCCCCACAATACATCTCTTTTAACCTTGTTTAAGGGTCTTCCGATATGCAGAATTATTTTTAAATGTAGTTTAACTTACTTTTCCTTTTATAGTCTCCAGATTTGCATTCAGTTAGCAAGGCCCAACCTCACACCAAGGTAAAATAAAATTTTTCCATGTTTCTACCTAGAACCATTCTTAAATCGTTTATTCATTTGGAATTTATCCTGATTTATGACATATGGACTCTATTTTCTGTTTTTTTAACATGGCTATGTGGTTATCTCACCATCCTTTATTAACTTTTCTCCCCAGTGAATTGAGAGAACACCTTTATCATATTCTCTTTGGCATCTGGGTCTATTCCTGAATTCTCTGTTGTACTGTTCTATGTGTGTCAGTACCTGTGTTTTAAATATTGAGATTTTATAATAATATTTTAATATCCACTAAGGTAACCCTACTTTATTCTGCTTTTCTTTCAATCTTTTCTGGTTATTCTTATATGTGTATTTTTCCATATGAACTTTAGATTCAGCTTGTCTATTTTTTTAAACTACATTTTAACCGGAAAAAAAAAAAAACATTACATTCATAAACAACTTAAGGAACTTAAGGACTCTATTTTGCTAAGTCTACCTATCCAAGAATGAGATATATTTCCATTTGAAGAAGTGTTCGTTTGTGTCTTTCAGTGGTTTTTTAAAGTAGTCTTTGTGGAAGTCTTGCACCTTCATTATTATAAGGTTTATTCCTAAATATTTTATATTTTGTGTTGTTCTTTTATAAGGGTCTTTTAATCATTTTTATATTTCAAGGAGTTGTTTGTTGAAGTATGAAACCTGATAATTTCTGTATATTAACCTTACCTCTCATTACTTCACTGATTTCTCTTATTGTTTGTAGTAATTTTTCAGTTGATCTCTTGGGTTTTCCAGGTATATCATCACCTAATAATGATAGTTTTACCCCCTCTTTTCCAATTCCTATGCAACTAATTTCTTGTTATTATTTAACTCTATTGACTAGCACTTACTGTATTGGTTGGAGCTTAATCTTGTTCCTGACTTTAATGGAACTACCTCTAAGTATCTTTCCATTAAACATAATGCTGGCTTGTGTGCTACAAAGAAATTTATTTTGTCATAATATTGAAATATCTGATTATTCCTATTATGTCTTTGTTTTTCAAATCAAGAATATTATGTTGAGCCAACAAAGTCAAAAGACTGTTCTTTAAAAACACTAATAAGGCAAGACTAATCAAGAAAAAAAGAGAAAACAAAAATTACCAAGGAATGGAAAACAGTTCTTACAAACATGAGAAAGAAAAGAAGATATTATAAAAAAACTTTATGTTAATACATGGGACATTTAAGATGAAATGGATAATATCCTTGACAAACACCACAAAACAGATACCAGAAACAGAAAAATTGTAATAGTCTTATATTTATTTTTTTTAATGAATCTATTATTTAAAAGACCCACAAAGAAAACTCCTGGCCCAGATGCCTTTACTGTTGAGTACTTGCAGACATTTAAGGAAGAAACAGCACCAATCTTTCAAAACCTCTTTCAAAAACAGAAAACAAGAGAACGACCTTCCAACTAGTCCTATGACAGCAACAAAACTGATGAAAAATCACAGGCCACTTTTCTCATGAATATAGATGCAAAAATCTTAACTAAATAAAAGCAGATTTAGATGTTTGAGATGACTGATTCTTTAGAGTTTCTTACTTTATAGTGAGATTCCTGATCACAACATTCATCTGCTCCACAGTGAATATTACTAATTTTTGCTGCTCTCATCTACCTTTTCTTCTCAAAGTATTATATATATTATTATATTAATGCTTAGGTAATGTTTTTTATTACCAATCATTGAATGAGTTAGGTTTTCCTGGTACAGCTATTTACAAGAGGTTCTGGGAGAAAGGAGCAGCCCAGGGTAGCTTTCTAGGCTATAGAAAACAGTTCTCTTCTCTGATGTACCAGATACAGATACAAATAAGGCCCCTGTGTGTGAACTCACCCAACACAACAAAGTAGCAGAGCCAGGGTTAAATCCAGGCGGTCTGAATCTTGAGCCAGCTTTCAAACCCACTATGCTATACCAAGATTTAATTAATTTATCTAAGCTAATTAAAGCTAATACAATCATACATCTGGCAGGTTACCAAGAGAAACTTTAAATAATAATTTATGTACCTTATTCAAGCTTCTCCATCCTTCCCCTAAGTATTCATAAACTGAAAAACAAAGATGAACTGACTTTTCTGTTATCAAAGGATTTTATTAGTAAGATTAATTACCCGATAGGGAAATGTCTTCCTCTAACACTGGGAAAAGTTATTACCACTGAAAGTAGTTTGTTTCAAAAACCTATTTAAATCAGGTACTCAAATTTTGACTATTACACTGAAGTAACTCTTTAAAACTATGTCGCACAAAGCATTTATGTGATTTACTCTTAGCAAATAACATATCATGAAAGGTGGTATTAAGGAGAGATTAGCATAGGAGATTCATTGCTTTTAGTTACAAAGAAGAAAATAAGATGACAATGACCATATGTGAACAACTGAGCAACGGATAAAACTTTTCCCCAGAAAGCATAATAAGATGATAAATGCTGACAAATCAATCAGTCAAGATACTATTTATTATGCTAAGATGTTTGTAACTAATACTTTTGTATACTACAGGGATTATACTACTGGTAATAGTGTAACATATTGAGACATAAACCTGATTATAGCTGAAGTAATTAACGACTCACAATGAATGTATGAGGACTTCTCAGTTATTTCCAGCCTATAGCTAAGCAATTGGCTCTCCAATGCTACAAAAACCTCCCTGTAATAGTTGGACAGTACTTTGGCCTCCCTTTTGTCGAAATTCAAAATAAACAAGTTTCTGATCACTTCTAAACTGAGAACATGACAAAGAATTCTGCTTATTCTTCAATCTTAGTATAACAGATTATTATAATTTTTTCATTACACATAGCGGCAAGGTTCATACTGTTCACAAGGTCATATAATTACCCTAGGTTTAAGAGGTTTTACTGTTGGAATATCAGTTCCTTCAGCTCTCTGTCTGCTTGAATCAAACGTCTTCCGTTTTTTAGTGGCAGTTTTCTGGCAAATAGGTCCATGTTTTTTCTGTCAAGATGAGGAAATACAACATGTCATTTTCTTTTCTACAAAAAGACTATAAAACTTTAAATTGTCATTTGAGACCAGTTTAAAAACCTGAAAGATGAAATAAATAATAATCCATAAATAAGAAATGTTTTAGCTAAAATTGTTAAAAAATATATGCAACGCATGTTACAAGTTATCTTTCTCACAACAAGAAAGTATTGATAAATACTCTACCAAAAATTTTTTTAGTTGTTTAATAGTCTCCTGGTTTTCACACTGCTAAGAATAAGGAAACTAATGTAAGCAAGTCAAAGCTATTGAAGTGGGAAAAAAGTTACCTTTATTACTAAATACTTGAAAATAGATACTAGAAAAAGGAATGTAAATGGAAAACACATTAGCATTAGGATTACAAAAGCTAACATAATAATAATAGCTGGGATTACTCAAGTTAACAAAATAGTAGTTTGTTAACAGAATATAGGACAAGGTGGTCAGGTTTGTGTCCTTACTCCACTATCATCCCTTCCCCCTCTCTGGAACTCAAATTTTCCACCTTTTTTTTACCAACGATTTTTCTTGTGCTACCTAGTGTTCCACTCCTACAATTTTTGGGTGGGGGGATGGGGGTTTGTTGTTGCTGTTGCTGTTTTAATATGGCTGCCAGCTCATTCAGTCATTCATATATTCATTTTAAAGACATTACAATGGAAGCTCTCTTAACTGACCTCAAATTAACCTACTGGATAAATAATAATTCTCCTTCCCCTAAATAAAACATGTTGACTAATAACATAGAGGATGCTAAATGCCCTTTTTTTTCTTTTGTATTTTGATAAACAATGAACAAGTCAGAATTGTTAAACTGTACCTGGGAAAACAGGAACCTCAGAACTGGCTGATTCAATGTTATGGAGCCTCTAATATTTTCAATACACAACTGTTTTACATACTTATTTTTGGATATCATTCTGACAAACACACACAGTAACTGTAACTATTAGAACAAAATCTCTTAAATATTAAAAAAAAAAAAAAAAAAGGATGGCTAACGGGCGACTTTCTAGAGATGTCTGTTCTTACATTGAGCTGTATATGTCAAAAGTATGTAGTGCCTGTTCCCAAAACTGATGTATACAAATTGTAGTTGTTATCGTGATTATATCATTTAATTAAATATTAAATAAATACATAAATGAGGACCAAAAAAAGGCATAATTTTCCCACTGAAAACTCAGCTTAATGCTTTGAAAATGTTTTGAAAAATAGCTAATTAATAACAAAAAAATGGATGAATTAAGCGTGGGCAAGAAAGGTTTAAGAAAGAAAGCTGTTAATATTTAAGAGGAGTCTGCAGTCAGGTGGACATTTTGGGTCATTAATTCCTCACTGCTTTAAAGAAAAACTGGAAACAATGAGAGGATGCAAAATAAAATGTAGCAAAACTCTAATCAGCAGACCCATACTCAAAGAAAAATCTTTATTCCACATCAAAATATTAATAAATACATATTTATATTTGAAGTTACATAAGGCATATTGAATACTAGCCAGTATCTCTTTAAGTTATTCTAAAGGTTCTTTCCATTGTCCTGAAGTATTAAACAATTAAAGATCTACCAAACTCCAAAAAAAAGGTACTCACTAATGCCACTGGAAAGAATGTTCTTCCACAAATCCTGCAAGGTAACAATTCTCCAACTTGGACACTTCCATTTTCTAAAATAGAAAAGAATGTAGTCAATATACTCAGTGGCTCAAATTGTGAAACTTCCAAATTTTAATGTCTTCACTTAGTTTCATATGTAAGTTGTCAGTTCTTGTGAAAAATGTCATGTCATTTTGAAATAAGTAACATCATCAATTAAAATGGGCAGAAGACTTAAAGTTATCAGTGGTCAAAAAGGCAAATGTCAAATACAGAATTCATACTTTAAGGAGAACCAAACTGATAATGTTGGAAATATCTGGTTTTCTTCTATTTTAACCAAATCAATTTGTCAGTCTCTTAATTTATAGGCTGTCTCTTTGTAAATTACTGAAGTTTAAAAACCAAATTTATCTGAAGGTTAAATACATTATTTATCTTCAAAGCATTAAAAAATAACATTGGTGGCTAGTGGATGGAGAAGATGAGTAGGAAAGCCCTGAGCTCACCTCCTTCCATGGGCACAACAAAATTACAACTATTTACAGAGCAACTATCACGATGAGAACAACCTAAAGACTAGCAGAAAAGATCTTCCACAACTAAAGATAAAGAAGGATCCACAATGAGACAAGTAAGAGAGGCAGAGACATGGTACAGTCAAGACCCACACCCACAGGTAGGCTACCCACAAACACGAGGATAATCACAATTGCAGAGGTTTTCCCCAAGGAGCAAGGGGTCCAAGCCCCATTGTGGACTCCCCAACCCGGGAGGTCCTGCAATGAGAAGATGAGACCCAGGGGGCTTACTTTTGGGAGACCCAGAGGGCTGTAGGAAATAAAGACTCCACTGTTAGAGGGCACACAGAAAATTTACATGCTCCAAGACCCAGGGCAGAAGCAGTCATTTTAAACTGGCCTGGGTCAGACACACATGCTGATCTTGGAGAGCCTCCCAGAGAGAAGGAGGCATGTGGGACTCACCCTGGGGACAGAGACACTGATGACAGCCATTTTCTGGAGCTCATTCGACCATGAGGAATGCTCGTGCTGGCAAGAAACATTATGGAGTCCTCCTAGCTTCGTAGTGCAAGGACCCAGCCCTACCCACCAGCCAGTCTGCAACAGTCCTTGGGACCCACAGGCCAAGCAGCTAACTGTGGGGGCACAGCTTCACCCAACAGCAGGCTGGCAATGACTACAGGCACCTTGATTCCCCCAGCCACCCAGGGACCCAGCCCTGCCACCAGAGAACCCAGGATCCAGCTCCACCCACCAGAGGGCTGGCACTAACTCCAGAACCTGGCCTCACCCACCAATGGGCAGGCACCAATCACTGGACTCCCATGGCCCCAGTGCTGCCGATCAGTGTGCAGACCATCTGTGAGACACCTTCAGCCAGCCACACCAGGGTCCAGCTCTGCCCACCAGTGGACCAGCACTAGCCTAGGGACCCCTAAGCCTTCACAATCAGCCACCTTGTGACCTGGCCCTACCTACCAGCGGCTGTCAGCATCCACAAAGGCAGAGCCTGGCAATCAATCAGACCATCCATGCCTACTAGACCACCAACAGAAATCAGCCCACCACAAAAGAAGGGCCCATGAAACCCACATAGGGGACATTCCTGGAACATAAAGCTCTGGTGACCAAAGGGAAGTGAGCTGCTGGGATGCACAGGACCTTTCCTATAAAAGACCACTTCAACAAGATCAAGAAATGTAACCAACCTACCAAATACACAGAAATAAAAACAGCAAGTTAGGCAAATGAGGTGACAGAAGAATTTGTTCCAAACAAAGGAATAAGATAAAACACCAGAAGTGAAGTGGAACTAAGGAACTTACCCAATAAAGAGTTCAAGGTAATGATCATAAAAATGCTCAAAGAACTTGGGAGAAGAATGGAAAAACACAGTAAGAAGCTTAACAAAGAGTTATAAAATATAAAGAACAACAAAACAGAGCTGAAGACAACAATAAGTGAAATAAAAACATACTAGAAGGAATCAACAGTAGATTAGATGATATGGAGGAATGGATCAGCAAGCTGGAAGACAGTAGTAGAAATCACTCAAGCTGAAGAGAAAAAAAAAAGAGTTTAAAAAATGAGGACAGTTCAAGGGACCTTTGAGACAACACTAAGTATGCTAACATTTGCATTATAGGGGTTCCAAAAGGAAAAGGGGAGGCAGAGAACATATTTGAAGACACAATGGCTGAAAACTTCCCTAACCTGGAAAAGGAAACAGATATACAAGTCCAGGAAGCACAGACAGTTACAAACAGGATCTACCCAAAACTGACCACACCAAGAAAACATCATAATTAAAATGGTTAAAATTAAAGACAGAGTATTAAAAGCAGCAAGGGAAAAGCAGCTAGTTACATACAAGGGAACTTCCATAAGTCTATTAGCTGACTTTTCAGTAGAAACCCTGCAGACCAGAAGGGAATATCATGATACATTTAAAGTGATGAAAGGAAAAAAACCTACAACCAAGAATACTCTACCCAGCAAAGCTATCATTCAGAAAGATAAGATAAAGAGTCTTGCAGACAAGAAAAAGCTGAAAAGGGGCTTCCCTGGTGGCACAATGGTTAAGAATCCACCTGCCAATGCAGGGGACATGGGTTTGAGCCCTCGCCCAGTAAGATCCCACATGCCGCGAGCAACTAAGCCCGTGTGCCACAACTGCTGAGTCTGCACTCTAGAGCCCACAAGCCACAACTACTGAAGCCCACGCACCTAGAGCCCATGCTCCGCAACAAGAGAAAGCACTGCAATGAGAAGCCTACGCACCACAAATAAGAGTAGCCCCTGCTCACAGTGACTAGAGAAAAGCCCGCGCGCAGCAAGACCCAACACAGCCAAAAATAAAATAAAATAAAATAAATTTTAAATATTAAAAGCTAAAAAAGTTCAGTACCACAAAACCAGCTTTACAAGAAATGAAAAGGCCCTTCTCTAAGTGAAAAAGAAAAAAGCCACAACTAGAAATATGAAACTTACCAAAGGAAAAATCTCATTGGTAAAAGCAAATACACTGTAAAGGTAGTAGACCAACCACTTATAAAGCTAGTAGAAAGGTTAAAAGACAAAACTAGTAAAATCATCTATACCCATAATAAGTAGTTAAGGGATACACAAAACAAAATGATGTAAAATATGATGTAGAAAACAGTACATACGGATGAGGGGAGTAAAAATTCAGCATTGTTAAGTATGTTCGAATTTAAGAGATTTTAAGCTTAAAATAATCATATACACACAAACACACACACCACACACACACACACACACACACACACA